AAGAAAGACGCTTCAGCGAGGGATATAAAAGGCGCGTACTACGATGTGAGTACGTGGCACTCGCGACGTTGGCCTCCGCTGCTGGACATTTGGTTACGAGGGCGAAAAGGGCTGACGTGAGCCGCCCGGCTACCGCTTCGACGACTCGATACAGCTCGCCAAAAAGTATCATCCAGATACGAACAAGGATGCGGGCTCGAAGGAACGCTTCGTAGAGATTCAGACTGCCTACGATATTCTTTCCGATCCCAAGAAGAAGCAAGCCTTTGATCAGTACGGCACCACGGATGGACAGCCAGGCTTTGATCCCTTTGGCGGCGGCGGCGGTGGCGGCGGGTTCGGAGGATTCGGGGGCTTCGGTGGTGGGCCTGGCGGCGGGTTCGGAAGCTTCGGAGGAGGAGGAGGAGCAGGAGGGGCAAGTGCTTCCGACATATTTGAAGGACTCTTTGGCTCTGCATTTGGTGGAGGCGCTGGTGGAGCGGGCAGAAGACAGGGCGGGGCTGGATTTGCGGGCGAAACGCGAGGAGAAGATTTGGAAGTAGGGGTGACCATCTCGTTCGAGGAAGCCTGCAGAGGCGCAAGTAGGAGCGTGGTCACCACTCCTGTAGAACGGTGCTCTCCCTGCAGTGGGCAAGGCTTGAAGCCTGGAGCCAGAAAGTCTACGTGCGGCATGTGTGGCGGCAGCGGCACGAGGACCTTTGTCATTCAGGGCGGCTTCCAAATGGCTTCCACATGCCCGAACTGCGGAGGCTCGGGAGAGACGGTGGATGCCAAAGATCAATGCACTTCCTGCGATGGCGTTGGCAGAGTGAGGGGCAAGCGAACAGTCGACGTCAAGATCCCAGCTGGTGTCGACGACGGCGCCAAGGTGCGCGTAGATGCTGCTGGAGACGTGCCTCTGCAAGGCGCAGGCAGACCCGGTGCGCTGTATGTACGCATCAGCGTTCGGCCCTCCAAGATTTGGAGAAGGCAGGGTGCGAATCTATACTTTCCGGCTGCTCTGCCCGTCCACACTGCTATTCTCGGAGGCAGAGTGCGCGTGCCCACACTCAACGGAGATGTCGAGCTTCGCGTGCCGGCGGGAACGCAAGCTGGCGAAGAGATGCTGCTGCGAGGTAGAGGGGTGCCGAATCTCTTGCGGAGAGGAGACAAGGGCGATCTGTTGGTTCAGTTTGAGGTCCAAGTTCCCCGGTGAGTAGGATTGCTGCTTCATTCCTCGAAGATGACGCACACACCCGCAACTCACGCATGCACACCTTGGACTGGTCGCAGAAATCTGACCAAGCGACAGCGAGAGCTTTTGCAAGCTTATGCTGATGATGTGGAGGGACGAGTGCCGAAAGCTCCTCAGGAGCCTCCTCGGACAGCTTCCGACGCTTCTGCTGCACGCGAGCAGCCTCTAGACGACAAATCACAGACTGCCGGACTACGTAGGTATCGAGCTTTTGCTGATGCGGGTCAGGAGGCGGCAAGGGCAGACGAACAGGCTGCGTCGACCAAGAGTTCGCTGGCTCGTGGGAGCGAGGGTGGTACTCATCGTGCTGCTCAGTCTCCCCATTCCTCGCCTCAAGCTCGACCTGCGGAGAGTGCGTCGGGAATAGGCGCGTCTCATGGACCGCATGTTCGAAATCGCTCTGAAAGGAAGACAGAAGAGCAGCACGATGATACCGATTCGTCTCAGGGCGGGCCGCTACGTCGAGCGTGGCGCTGGTTCACAAAGGGTTGAGCTCTGGTGAGCATCGACTTGTCATGTGGTGCCAGCCCAGGCGAGGCATCGGGCGTTCGGCTCCTTGAGCCTGCGAATGGTCATATTGTTGGCTGATTGGGCGGCTGTTGCTGACGACTGGCCCCTGTTTCCCTTCATTTGGC